TTGGGCTATGGATCACCTTGGAATAATAGGTTGGACGAATTCTATGGGGAAACCCATTAGAAATCGCCCAAGGGATATTCTAAAAGGGTCCATGGGTTGCTTAGGGCTTAAGCAGTCAGATTAGGGTTTCCTAGTTGAAAACCCTAATAGCCTACATGTATATATAGTACCCTTAAGCCCCAAAAACGTGGCTAAGAGTTCCACTAGGGTTTCTGGACGTTTTGGGCAGCCTCCTCTCTCTTCATTCTTCATCCTCTTGCTCTTGGTGTTTGTGAACCATTAGAGGAGTGACACTTGTGACTCTAAGCTTTCTAAAGCCATTACAAGGAGGATTTGAGATTGTTATTGCTACATAACAATTAAGGTATGATCTAAACCCTAATTCATATGTTAATATTGATTATCACATGCTAGATCTAGGGTTTATAGTCTTGGATGAATGCATGTACAATAGAGAAACCTAGATCCAAGCATTAGGGTTTGCATGAGCACATAGGATGTTCTTATGGCCTAAACCCATCATCACTGTCATCCTCAGACAGATGTCTCGAATCGGGGCCGCTACCGCCTTGCGGCTCACGGCGTCGGCCACCACATTGGCCTTGCCCGGGTGGTAAAGGATCTCATAGTCGTAGTCCTTCACCACATCTAACCACCGACGTTGCCTCATGTTCAGATTCAGCTAATCCATGAGGTACCTCAAACTCTTGTGGTCCGTGCAAATGGTACAACGGACCCCATAGAGGTAATGCCGCCAAATATTAAGGGCGAACACCACAGCCCCCAGCTCCAAATCATGCGTCGGATACTTAGCCTCATGAGGCTTCAACTGCCTTGAGGCGTAAGCTATCACATGACCCCGATGCATCAATATCGCACCCATGCCCGTAATCGAAGCGTCACAATAAACCACGAAATCAACGACGCACTCCGACAAAGTCAGGATCGCTGCCTTGCACAACCGCTGTCTGAGAGTCTCGAAAGTTGCCTACTCCTCAGGCCCCCAGCGGAAGGTCACCGACTTCTTGGTCAGTCGGGTCAAAGGAACAACGATCTTGGAGAAATCCTGAATAAATCTCCGGTAATAACCTGCTAGACCAAGGAAACTCCGAATCTCGGTTGGAGACCTCGGAATCTCCCACTGCATCACGGCCTCTATCTTGTCCGGATCGACCAGAATACCCTTCTGGTTGACAAGGTGCCCCAGAAACCGCACCTCGCACAACCAGAACTCACACTTGGAGAACTTTGCGAAAAGTCTCTCCCTCCTCAGTGTCTCCAGCACCTCCCTCAGGTACTCCTCATGCTGCTCTCGATTCTTGGAAAAGACCAAGATATCATCAATGAAAACGATCACAGACCAATCCAGCATCGGTCTACACACTCGGTTCATGAGATCCATGAACGCGGCTGGAGCATTGGTCAGCCCAAATGGCATCACCACAAACTCATAGTGACCATAGCGAGTCCTAAAAGTCGTCTTCTGCACATCCTCATCCCTAACTCGCATCTGGTGATAACCCAATCGCAGATCAATCTTTGAGAACCAAGATGCACCCTGTAGCTGGTCAAAAAATCATCGATCCTCAGGAGGGGATAACGGTTCTTCACCATTACGTTATTCAACTCCCGGTAGTCTATGCACATCCGATACGACTCGCCCTTCTTATTCACAAACAGGATCGGGGCTCCCCATGGTGAACTGCTCGGCCTAATAAAACCCTTGTCTAGCAGCTCTTGCAGCTGCGTAGACAACTCCTGCATCTCGGGAGGAGCCAACCGATATGGTGCCTTGGCTATCGGAGCCGCACCAGGGACTAGGTCAATCCTAAACTCAACCTGTCTCTCCGGAGGTATCCCCGGTAAATCCTCCAGAAATACGTCCGGGTACTCTCGCACTACCGGTACATCATCGACTGTCGCCTTACCCTTGTCCCGGGTATCCAGACATAGGTGACATAACCTGTGCAACCCTTCTGAAGGTAGTGCCTCGCTCTCGCTGCTGAGCATAGAGTCAATCCACTATGTGGCCTCTCGCCCTGAATCACTATCCCTCCCCTACTAGGAGTCTGAATCCTCACTAGCTGCGGCTCGCATTCAATCACTACCTCATTTGGGCTCAACCAATCCATACCCACTATAACCTAATTCCCTCGTAGGGGAATAGGAACCAAATCCACTGAAAACTGCTCATCGAATAACTGTAGTGCACAACCTCTGTGAACCCTCGCAACCTAACGGTCCTGTCATCTGCTATCTCCACATCAACTTGGCCGAAAAATCACTCCAGGTCATCGCATCTAAAACCGCATCTAGACCTGGCAATTCGTGTATTCGTGTCATGAAAACGTGTCAGCCACGAATTTGACACGATATGATTACAAGATGAGAAATAAGCTTTATCTCAATTTTTAAGATGTATTCGTGTCATGTCGTGTCTCTCACAGATTCGTGTATTCATGTCTGGAATTGCCAGGTCTAACCGCATCATCCCCAATAGCTCGTTCAACCTCCTCCCACCAATCACGTGCCCTGTCCTTCAGAAGACAAGACGCAAGTCGAACCTTGTCCCCCTCGGGACATCTGATGTTGTGGAATGCGTTGGTGACATCTTCCAACCATCTGGTACTCAGAATGGGGTCCCGAGCCCCATGGTAATCGGGAGCTCTACAAGCCCTGAACTCCCTGAATGTCAGTGTGCGCGCCCCTAGCATGGTCGCCATCTCGGTGCGGAATGCACCCAACCTCTCATCAAGTATCTCCAAAATGCCCTCCTTGACCGACCCAAAGATCACATGAGTCTGGTCTAGAATGTTGCGTGTGATCTCAAACGAGATGAACCCTCTCGTCTGCTCATCAAGCTTCCCGACTCCAGAGCCCGAGCCTGATCCCTCACCAATGCCTGAAGTGCCGCCTGGCCTAGTGCGTAACCGACACTCAACCACGACCACTTAAACTCACTTTAGCCACCTTCGACGGGTCAAGCCCTATTGGCTGGTTATTACAAGTCGACTGGTACTTTTCATTTTACAAAATTAACCCTCCAGAACGCCTCACCATAATGGCCTTCTACCTCTCTGGGGATGCCCTCAATGGTATAAGTACCTCTTCAATAATAGTCTTCTCACCACTTAGGATACGTTTACCAAAGCCCTTGAGACACAATTTGGTCCATTCACTTACGACAAACACCAGACGACACTATTCAAACTCTGACAAACAGCCACTATGACGACTTACCAAACGTAATTCGAATGGCTCAACAATTTTATTATTGGCCTTCCACCAGAGGCACTATTGAATTGTTTCATGTCGGGTCTCTGCACTGATATCAGTGAACAACTCGCTATTCTCCGACAAATAACCATCACCGAAGCCATTGGGCTAGCAAATCTAGTTGAAAATAAGAATGGTGATACCTACCCCAGACAATGCTACACAGGCCCCGTCTATGCAACACCACCATACATAACTACCCCCACCATAGCCGCTTCACCAGCCACCATCTCCACAACTACCATACTTTTAACCACACTCACGAAACCCAATACTACCCTTCCATTCACTCGATTATCACTAGAAACCCTTCAAAAGAAACGTGTTGAGGGCTTGTGTTTTCGTTGTCCTGAAAAATATGAACCTGGGCACAAGTATAATCCCCCCCCCCCAATTCATCATGATTGTTGACAACGACGAGAACATCGAGTCATACACTCCTCCCCACCTGACTAGCACCACTACAGACAACAAAATTACTAAGCCACCTGATCAATTCCTTTCCCCGTCGACAACGACTTTCTTTGGATTGGCATCATCCCAAGCTTTACGTGTCACAGGTTTCATCAACAACATGTCGGTCAAAATTCTTGTCGACACTGGTAGCACCCACAATATTATTTAACCAAGGATTGTAAATGCATTAAAGCTTCCACATGAAGAAATTCCATTTTTTTCCTGTCATGGTGGGCAGTGGCGATTACCTTCATTGTAACGGATTTTTCCCTAAGCTCGAAGTTCATATCCAGCAAACACCATTTTCCATTGCCTTCTTTATTTTGCAAGCAGAAGGAGCCGATATAATTCTAAGGTTGGCATGGCTGAGCACTTTGGGCCCAATTTTAGCAGATTTTTCTATTCCACAAATTACCTTTAATAAAGGGCCCTTTTCCATCACCCTAAAAGGGAAGCCCCTTTTAACATCGGCTTCACCATCCAATATATAAGCCCTTATTAACAAAAATAGCATTGATTCGCTCCAGTCTCTATATTTCCACTTCGATCTAGTCTAGTCAAAGGCAACAACCACACCTTTTAACCACTATGATTCCAAAATCATGAATTTAATCCACATTTATCATCATCTCTTCGCTAACCTTACTACACTTCCACATATACGATAACAAGATCATTGTATCCCCACCATCCCCACCGCCACTCCTTTTAACGTCAAACCCTACCGCTACCGCACTACCAAAAATAGATTATGACAACCTTAATCAAGGAGATGCTAGCCAAGGGCATAATTAAACCAAGTAGCAGTCTGTATTCGTCACTGGTGCTTCTAGTACACAAAAAATATGGAATGTGGCATTTTTTTGTTAATTACCATGCACTCAATGCGATCACAGTCAAAGACTGCTTTCCTCTCCCCACCGTTGACGATCTTCTCGTTAAACTCCATGGTTCTACAGTCTTCTTCAAAATTGACCTCCATGCAGGTTGTCATCAAATCTGAGTCGTCGATGAAAACACGCACAAAATTGCCTTCTGAATAGTTGATGGACATTACAAGTTTCTTGTAATACCCTTTGGGCTCTCCAACACCCCTTCAATCTTCCAAGCCACAATGAACGAGTTATTCCATGATATGTTACGACAATATGTACTAGTTTTTTTTATGACATCCTGGTATATAGCTCTTTTCTAGATCACCATTGCATTCACCTGGAGCAAGTCTTCCTCAAATTGGTGACCCACCACTTCCATGAAAAGATGTCTAAATGCACGTTTGTGGTAAACAAAATAAGTTACTTAGGCACATCATATCCACCATAGGAGTAGAAGTAGACCCGGAAAAACTCGACGCCATCCAAAATTGGCCGACACCTAAAAATCTCACCACATTACGTGGATTTCTCGGCCTTACTGGCTATTATCATCGTTTCGTGCCCAAATACGCAACGATTGCAGCAGGTGTCACCGACATTCTCCGTAAGCCACACTTCGCATGGTCACATGAGGCTCAATCTTCTTTTCAAAATCTTAAGATTGATATGTTCCACCTCATCACACTTACCCTACTTGATTTTACAAAATCCTTTGATATAACCACATATGCATCAAACATCGCCATCAGAGCCGTTATCTTTCAACAGGACCGCCCCATCGCTTTTTTCAATAAGAGATTATGCAATTGCATGCAAAGCGCTTCCGCTTATGTCCGTGAACTTTTGTCATAGAAGACGTAAAAACTAGAGACAGTACTTACTCGGCCGACATTTTCGGATATACACGGATCAAAGAAGATTAAAACATATCCTTATACAGGTGGTTTAAACACCCGAACAATACAAATGGGCAACAAAACTTATCGAGTATGATTTCTAGATCAATTATAAACCAGGTAAAGATAACCATGTGGCTGATGCCCTTAGAAGGATCGAGCAACCACCACCGATCCAACATGGGTGCAGGAATTGTGTTCCTACTACATAACTCCAGAAGGCACAAGTTTGGTCCAAAAAATACTCACAAAAGCTGCCAAAAATGACACTTTTCCTTTTTGCGACCGATTGTTATACCATCAACAACGATTGTACATTCCAAATGGATCCTATATTCTCCAAAAGTTGTTGTATGAGTATCACTCATCCCCACTGGAAAGACATTCGGGGATATTTCTTACTATACATCGTGTTTCAGCCACCTTTCTATGGCCCCAACTTAAAATCGATGTGAAAGAATCCATCCACAAATGTGAGGTATGCCAACAAATTAAATCCCCAACTCATAAACCTTATGGCTTCTTGTAACATCTTCTGATTCCTTCCACCACTTGGAGCGATATTTCCATGGATTTTATCACCCATTTACCAACTCAACCGGTAAGACAACAATTTGAGTCCTCGTTGACAGATTTTCAAAATTTGCTCACTTTATTGCTCTTCCACCTAATTTTGGAGCTGTCTCTCTCGCTACACTATTCTTGACAAACATTTACTAACTCCATGGCATTCCTCATAACATTGTATCGGATCGAGACCTTATTTTCCTTATTTCATTTTGGCGAGAGCTATTCAAACAACTCGGGACCCATCTTCGCTATTCTACCGCCTATCACACTCAGTTTGACGGGCAAACAGAGGTTGTGAATCGATGTATCCAGAACTACCTCCGTTCATTTTCATGCGATGAACCACGGACTTGGACCAAATTCTTGTACCTGGCAGAGTTCTGGTATAACACTTCCCATCACAGTGCTATAAAGATGTCTCCTTTTCAGGATTTATATGGCAGAACAGTTCCGTACCTCCATCGATATCGAGTCGGTTCAAGCAACATCGCTTCCATTAAATCCACACTCCAAGAGCTCCAGTGGCTCTGTTCATTACTCAAAGGAAACCTCCGAAGAGCTCAACAACGCATGGCCACTTTAGCCAATTCCCACAGGCTCGATAAAGATTTTTTGGTGGATGAGATGGTTTATCTACATTTAAGGGAGTATCGTCGGAAGTCAGTGCACGCGAGGAATACCAACAAATTAACCAAGAGATATTATGGTCCCTTTAAAATACTAGAAAAAATTCGTGTGGTCGCCTATCATCTTCAACTACCTGCGGATTCTAAAATCCATCTGGTGTTCCACGTATCCCTTCTCAGGCAAGCACATGGCGACCCTACACCCATTCCATTACTAGCTATCGATCCGTTGACAGATGCACCACCAACACCAGACAAAAACATTAACCATTGCAACACCGGTAAGGACATTAAAATTTTGGTTTCATAGAAAGGCACCAACATCTCACATGAAACATGGGAACAAATGGACGACTTTCATTGTCGTTTTCCACAATTTTGCCTTACCGAAATTTATTTGTCATTGCTCGAGAACAAGCTCGTTACAAAGGGAGGGGCAATTGATACAAGTCCACAAGATGGTAACAAGAGCCAAATCTCATTAGTCCAGTGATGGACAACCCAAGGCCCAGAAGAATGATCCGTAAGCCTGCAAGACTCTTGGACTAACCATTGGAAAATGTGATTAATGTAGCACAAAGAGTCAACACTTGACTGAATCTTCTCCTTAAAATCAGAAATAGCCAATCGTTTATTTTGCATAAGGTCCATGACCACATGTTTCCCTGTTTTTAGCTAAAGTGTGCATATTTATTTCAGTTGTGTTGTTATTGACATGAATGATTATTAAGAAAATTGCTCCAGCTCTTGTCTCTTCTTAATTTGTCTTTTGGGAGATTGCCAACTATCGCAGACATTTCTAATAAGTAGGATCCTAAACAATAACAAGGCCCCCAATTTGAAGGCCCATAAAACTTGAACTTACGAGTCCAACAAAAATATTAGCTTCTTTGCCGACTTACATTTGTGGTATCCTAATATTTACAAATATAGAAACTAACGAACTCAAATATCTTCATGATAACTGCACTAAAAAAAAGATTTAAAATTTTAATTAACCTAGTCTAATACAAATTAAGTGCCATATATATTAGATGTTACTATTCCAACTTAATAACATATGATATAATCACATTCTATACATTAATTATATTGTTTAACGTAAAGAATGTACCCAAAACTAATTTACAAAAAAAATATAATCGATAAGTAGACCAGAATAGCATGTTAATTTAAATAAATGTGTTCGAAATAGTTATATAAACGATCATTTGTGCCAAAAAAAATTAAAACTAAATATAAAAACCATTTGCATAAAGTTCATTTTTTATGTACATGTATTGTTGACAAATCAATGAGCTCCCATCCTCAAAATGGGTATCTACAATTGAGGTCAAGATCAGTGCTGTAAAAATTGACCTTAGCAGCTGACTAGGCGTCTAGGCAACGTCTAAACAAAATTCAGCCTGAATGAACTCATATGAAAAGTAAAATTTAATCTTTATTATATTTGCTTTGGTCAAAATAAGGGATACTAGGACAAGCATCATGTTAGTCGGTCAAAAATCATAAATGCAACCAAACCCGACTTAAGGTCGATATCTTTTAGGCCATCCGTTATACCCACCACATACCACATATGTGGCATGGGATACCTACCACTAACACAACATTCCACCTCATTTTTTTAATTAAAATTAATTCAAAAATACATAAAAATTCATATAATTATTTTTTTAAATACTAATTTTCATTAATTTAAAATACTAAATTACATTAATTAAAAACTACATTAATTAAAACGAAAAAAAAATAAAAATAACTTTAAAACTAAAAGTTACATTAAGTAAAATAAAAAAACAATAAAAATAACATTAAGAATTAAAAAGCTAAAAATACAAAACTTCTAATTTGTGTTTTTTTAAGCAAGGTTATTCCATTTTGGGGAATTCTTCAATTTTTGCCAAGCTTTGACATGTTTAAAACTTTGATGATTTGTGTTTTCATATTGCTCCATGGCCACATTAACCGGATCGATATCGGCTTCGTGTATGTTGTTTATAACAAAGTTGTAAATTCCATTGAACTCAGAACATTTGAGCCTCATATCGCGCCACTTCAAACATATTTCATCAACATTTCGAATTGCACAACCCATTAAACCATGGAAAACACTTTCAACATTTCTCCAAAAAGAACCGGAAGTTTGACCAGCGTCTTCTTCCGAAACTATCACCCATGCTTGTGCTAATTTCTCTTCTTCCTCTTCTGACAATTTCTTATTTTTGGGAGGCATGGTTGTTGAATGATCAAACAACAAAAATGTATCTAAAGGGAGAAGAATTATATGAAAAATAAGAAGATGAGTGGTAGTATTTATAGGTAAATGTTGAAGAAATAGAAAAAAAGCCGTTAGGAAGGGGGAAGAAAATGGTCAAACGAGAATTAATGCAAAAAGTGAAACTATTGGCCGTTTGGAATCGTTGTCCGGAGTACGGAGGGCCACGACCACGACCCACCACGAACCACCGGGGTGGTGTGCACGGTCGTGGTTCGTGGTCACCTAGACCACGACCCACTTCGTGGTCACCATACCGATAAGCCTTAGAGCAAAATGTTTAGAAGCTTTTAGGTGATAATCGCTCACATATCCCAAATCGACACTCAATTAGTAGTTAACTCAATCCACAATACTCCAACTAAAGTAACGATACCAACAAAAACAAATGCCACCCTAAAATGTAACTTATGTAGATTTAGGCAACTATTTTCATTTTTTTACTCAAAGATATCAGAATTTCAAATATTAAAAACTCCATTAGTATTATGTGAGCACTCCATTCAATTCCCAATACTCAAACTAAAGTAAAAACAACATCTTACATAGATTATTATAGAAAATCATCTTTTATTTTATGAGAAAATTGAAAAACTGTTCCCTTTGGTTTCCATTCTTCTTGGTACGGGTGAACATATTAACCAAAAAACCAAACCATAACCAAATTGACCGATATAACCGAACCATTTAATTTAACCGAACCATTACTAAAAGATATGGTTCGGTTTCTAATTTTGATTAACCGAATACATATGGTTCGGTTATGGTTTTAATCTAAAACCGAACCGAACCAACAATATTAATAAATATTTTTAATATAATATAATAGTAAATATATGGTATCTAATTATATTAGGAATTGAAAATTTAAAGGGTAATTGTTTCGAGTTAGATATGATGAGTAATCTTCTATCAATACAATTATATATACACAATTATTTATTTTTTATAACGATAGACTTTACGTTTTTTTAATTTTAATAGAAAATTATTTTTGTTTTTATATCATCTTTGACCATTTTGGTTAACCGATATCAATCATTAACCATAACCATTAACCGATTAAAACCGTTAACAAAACCAATATTAACCGCTACCTAATGGTTATCGAAATACATTAACCAATTGTAATGGTTATGGTTCGGTTTGGACCAATAACCGAACCAAACCGTCCCATACACACCCCTACTTCTTGGCAAACCACCAGGGATGTAGTACCAAAAAAGTTAAACTAACTATTTTTCCTTTTTAATTTGTTTTGTGTTTATGTTAACATTATAATAATAAATAAATTTGAGATAGACAACAATCATCCTCTCTTTCTCTCTCTCTCTCTCTCTCTCTATATATATATATATATTATATATATTATATATATATAGATATATATATATATATATATTATCTATATCTATATATATTACTAAACGAATTACCGCGCATTACGCAGCGAAGATTAAAAATATATTGTTAAAATATTGA